CATGGGTGCGCTGTGGGGCCCCTGGAGAAAGAGGAGGGAGCATCTCTCTACCTGGGGCCTGCCACCTCCTGCCGTCCTAATCACCTCTCTTCTGGGACAGATCAGGGCCCGGGAGGGTAGGGGTGAGAGGAGAGCAGAGGAAAGGTGGGGAGCCACCGTGCCATCAGCATTGGGACAAGCCCTACACTGGAATCAAGCAGTGACAGAAGGGCAAGGAAGGAAACTAGGTTTCTTGTAAATAAGCACAGAGAAACCCCAACCAACAGAGCTTGCAAAACCTTTATTTTTTTTCCCTCCCTCTTCCTGATTTCATCTCAAATAGAGGGGGCGGTAGAAGGAAAGGAATAGAGGAGCAGAAGCTGACAAAATAGCTGGGTATGAGGCAGGGACGTTCTCTGGGCACTTGCTTAAGGAGGAAGATTAGCTCGCTGATTGGAGTCCAGCCCTAACTGGGCCAAAGTTGTGGGTTTGAGTCCTGGGGACCGATTAATTCTGCTCTGTCCAGGACTATTCACTGGATCCCTGACTCCGGCCTTCCGTGTCTTCAATGCAGGCCACTGGTCATGTGGTTCAGCAGGCAATTCCCTGCCTGATGACTGTTAGGCGAGGAGGGGCTGTTTTTAAGCAGAGGGTACAGCTGTTCCTGGGGTAGTTTCCATTTTGTTTGTGGTCGTGGGGGAGGGGTGTTGAGGGAGTGGGAAATGGCATGAAGGAAATTGTCACTTCCTTTCCAGAGAATTCCAGAAAGGTCTCATGGAGGACGAGGTATTTCAGGAGTGAAAGCTGGCTTGGAGGGGATGAGGAACTGGAGGAGAATTGTGCTTTGTGGCCCAGCTGACCATCTGGCCTCCATGTTTCCTGGCATGTGTGAAAATGCCACGGGTGTTACCAGCAATTCTGTGAGAGCCATTGGCTCCACTGAGCGAGGGTAGATTTAAACCCACTCCACGCAGACTGTGGACGTGGCTTTCACATCAGGGCTGTTTCCTGTAGGGAAGGCCCAGATGGGTGGGTGCAGGACACTGCTTGATATGTTCCAGTGACAGAACCAGGAAGGGTCTGTCTGTCTGAGGGGGCCCAGTTGTGGTGACACGGGAGCAGCTCAAACCACTTCTATTTTGCTTTGGTTTTGAAATGCAGTCAGAACTACAGAGAGCCAGAGGTGTGCATTTGCAGGCCAGGAGGTAGGCGTCCTCGCCTGCTCGCTCCCTCCTGCGGTACACAGGCTCACACGGGGTGTCCAGGGCCCATATCCTCTCACAAAGGCCTCACTTTCAGCCCAAGTAGGACAGGCCCTGGGAGCCAGGGATCCTTTAGTGCTGAGAAGGGAGCAAGGGAGTGGAGCTCTTGCCACCCTGGGAGCCCGCGGTGAGCTGAGCAGTGAGTGACGGGGCACCTGGGGGGGAATTCACCACCAGTTACTAAGGGCTCCCAGGAGCCTCAATTCCCTGAGCCCAGTGTCCGTGTGTGTCTCCCTTGTCCCCCACTTGCTGGCGAGGCAGAGTCCAGGGCTTTAGGCCGCTCAAGCTATGTCCCTGCCAAAGGGCTCGCTGGAGAGGGGAGCCCCTGGTGTGGGCCTCTCCGGCCTCCAGCAGGGCGGGCCTCCTGTGGTGGTGGCTTCTTTGGTTTCAGGTTCCTGGGAGAGGGAGGTTATTTTGAGGGACTTAAAGGGGAGGGGGTGGTTCACTCCTCTGCCGGGGAGAGTGAGTGAACATGCAAATGAGCCTCTCCCCACCTCTCACTTTCAAATCCTCAAACATCTGAAGGGGGAGGGGGGAACTTTCTGGACTGGAAGGTTCCAAGGGGGAGGCATTTCTTAGCCCGGCAGCCAAGAGAGTAGGACAGCTACTTCCTCTCCCTGTACCCCTTCACCTTAGCTTCAGGCTAGGGCAGAGGATGTCCAGGATCGGCCTCAGATGCTGGCTATGCCCTCACAATATCTCACAATCCTGGGCCAACAGAACCTGCACCAACCAAGTCCTGGACTTAGATCATTCAACATGTGGACACACACACACACACAAGAATGCGATTGGATTTGTCTCTTTTATTTCAAATCTCTCCTCTACATTGATGGCCAAGGGTTCCATCAACACGGTGCAGTGGCTGCCTCCCCTCCCCCACCAGCTCCCTAGCAGGTTGTTCTTGGGGGACTCACCCCAAAGACCATGGGCCACATACCTATTCTAGGGCTGGCATTCTCTTTCTTTCTTTTTTTTTTTTTTTTTTTTTTTTACCACTCATAAGCTCTGTAGAGGCATTCTCTTTCTTGAGAAGCACAACCCCACAGGATCTGCGGAACCCCTGGCCCTGCCCCAAGTCTGCCTCCTCCCCTCAATCTTCAGCACAGCCTCTTAGAGCCAGCATTAGCTAATGTTTGTCCCTCTCACAAGACAGCCCAGAGGAGGAGGAACCGAAGACTGAGCTTGTGGCTTTGCCGGCCAGACCAGGGCAGCCCTTTGACACACAGAGACTCTCACGCACATGTGCCATACTTGGGACACATGCGCACACCCCACACATACAAGGTGCGTGCACACCTACAGCGAACACAGATGGCACACCTGCGCAGATAACAATGCAAAAATATACAGAAGTTACCTCAGTGAGTACGTACATTTCTCTGTCTCATGCAAGAGTATGTGGCACCCGCACCTGGTGTAGACATGGACACACATTGCCCAGAAAACACACCTCATAGTTGCCGACTGACCAATACCACCCACGCGTCCGTTCATCCATCCATCCATTCACTCCACAAATATGAATTGAGAGTCTGCTACATGCCAGGTGTGGTGCAAGGTGCTAAGGTTTCGTCAGTAACCAACACAGTCGTCCCTGCCTTCAAGGAAGCCTCTGTCTAACGGGGGAGAGGTAAGGAAGGTGCATAGAATTACCCCAGGAGAAAGCACTAGCAATAAACTTGCAAAAATGAAATAGTAATCTGTGAAGAGAAGCCAAAGAGATGAGCAAACCTGGAGGGAAGGGCCATAGCAATGACCTTCGGGGGAGGGGGCAGACAGGAGTTTCTTGTTTAGACAAAGTGGGATTAGGTGAAAGTGATCGCCTTTCATTTGATTAGTATGAGAATGTTTCCTGGGGGCAGACAGCCGCCTGTGGGAGGGCGGAGCTGCTGCGGAATGCCGGCCTTGGGGCACTTAGGCTGGGAGGGTACAGACCTTCCAAGCATAAATGGCCCTGGGAGGCTTCACAGGCCACAGGAGAAGGGTCACTGGCAGGGTCGGGTGGGGGCGGGGTGGGGGTGGGAGGAGCAGACCCGGGGTTAGGAAACGTCTTCCCGGTGCCGCCTGCTGTCGTGCCGGGTGGACCTAGCAGGGCTCCGTCTCTCATTCGCCAGAAGAGCAACTCAGACCTGACAGGTTGAGTTGAGTGAAGCGACTTCTCCAGACTTTTTGTTGGGGTGGGTGGAAAGGTGTCAGGTGGGGGTGGGGAGAGGGTGGGGCCAGCCCTGTGGGCTAACGGAAAGGAAGTGGGAGAGGCCTGGGTGTCTCCTGTGGGGCAGAGTGGTCATCAGGGAGGTCACCACTGTGGTCCCCCTCCCTTTCCTCCTCTGTACCCCTCTCTGAAGTTCCTCATTTCTTTCAAAGCCGGGAGAAGGTTTTGCCACCCTGGCACTGCCAAGGGAGCATCAAGGACGTGGGATTGTGTCACTCCTACGGTGGTGCGTGGACCCTAGTCTTCAGGTACTCACAGTTGAACCAGGCTGTTTGTAGACCCGCCTACACTCACACCAACACACACAAAACGGAACCTGAAGGGCTAGAGACGTGGTGCCTGGAAGGGGAGAAGCCCAAGTGCTGGGGGCGGAGGCGCAGTGCAGGCTGGCAGGAGGAAGTGGGAGCCGGGCTAGGGTCGTGGGAGGCAGGCATGGCTGTGACCATGACCATGACCACCGCTGACAGCGGATGGGCCGCCAGAGCGCTGACAGTCCTGAGGAGCTTAGGCTGGGGAAACGACTGCAGGCCCGGATGCCATGGGAACACCGAGGTGCAGACCACCAGCTCGGGAGGCAGGCAGGGAGATAAGAGGCATGTGTGGGCTGCAGCAGACACAGAAGATTTCCTGGAAAAAGGGGCCTGAGCTGGCCCTGGAGGATGGGGAAGGTTCCACCCGCCCCTCCCCCAGCCGGGGCTCTCCTTGCAAGTTCCCAGGGTGACAGTTCAGTCTTGAAACTGAAAGCAAAGCTGAACCAAGCACACAAACCCACATAGAGCACAGAGGCCATCCTCTCTGGCGGCTGGTGGGGGTGGGGGTGCTGATGAATACACAGGGCATGTGGCCCACCTGTCCCTCTGTCTCCAGGCTCTCTGGACATACAGCTTCATCTGAGAGTCCCATCTCTAAGAGCAGAGTTAGGCCACTGCTGGCCCTGACACAACACAACGCCCAAAGCGAGGCATTTCTTCCTACCCCCAAGGTAAACTGAGCTTAACTTCAACTGGAGCCAGGCAGAGTTGGGAAGAGCACCCTATACACCCAGGAGTTCCCATTTTCATACTCTCACACCCAATTCTTCCCCAAGCCGAGGAAGTTGTAGGGATCCTCATGCTACTGCCCCCTCCATGCAGCCGGGGCTGGGCGCCCCTACTTCCCCAGTGGCCATGCCCTGGGGATTTGTCTTCAGGGTGGAGACAGCCAAAGTCCCTCTGTCTGGCAGCTTCTGCAGAGGAAGGGGGCGGGAAGGGAGGCCACATGTCTTCGGGACTAGTGTGAGGTACAGGTGCTGGTGACCCACACTGGCACCAAGGCTCAGCCACTTCCCACTGGAGGCCATTCCATTGACTTGCTCTTTTTCCTTCATTCTTTACCTGCCTCCTTTCTTCTTTTCCCTTTCTTTACCCGTTGTCCTCCCTTTTGGCCGTCCCTCTACTGGCAGTCTGCCCTGGCACAGCAGGGTCTCTCTGGTTTGCCAGCTGTCCTGGCAACAGAGCTCAAGGAAGGTGACTTACCCACTGTCCCCATCTCTCCTTTCTCCCTAGGTCACTCCTGTGGTTGGCCCAGCCCAGCATGCAGCCTTGAGCCTGGCTTAGGCTACCACCGCCTCCAGCTCTCTACACCCCTATCGTACAGCTGCTCACGGGGTAGGCTCTAGGCTCCACGGTACCTGAGCACATCTCCTCATCAAGAAAGCACCGCAGGTCCAGGGGGCCCTGCGAATCCCACTGTTGGTGCCCTGGGAAAACAGCATGGCTATTACCCTACAGCCTAGTGACCTGATCTTTGAGTTTGCAAGCAACGGGATGGATGATATCCACCAGGTATGGTCCCAGAGGATGAAGCATGGTTGGCCAGTGTGGGGGATCACATAGGCACAGGCAGGCAGGTAGATAGCCAGGGAGCAGATATCCACCAAGCATCTATATGCTCAGGGCGCTGGGCCTGACTGTAGCCAGCCTGCACACCAGCTGGTCACTCATATGGCTGCTCAGTAGCCACTGGGCGGTCATTTAGGGAGCTGTTTGCCCACATGTGATCACCAAGCCAGACAAGCAGCTGCCAAGTCAATCGGCTGAGGTGCCAGTCAGTCAGCAACGTGGACTGAAGGCACAAGGTGTACACTGACCACCATATGTGTTTTCAGCCACTCCCTTCACCTGAAGTGTCACAGAGAGAAAGCTGCTGGGTCAACCACATAGCAAGAGTGAGTACTACCAGCTGGAACTGGCGGGCAAAGTCCAAGCCCTGGCATTGTCAGACTCATGTCTCTAGCCCAGTTGCTGGGCCCTTCCATAACTATCTTTCTGGTCTCAACCTGAGGACCCAGGACAAACTGGAAATGGGGTCTTTTGGTGGGAGGAAGTTGGAAAATAGGACAAGATTCTGGTATTTCGCAGGTCCCCACTGCTCCATACCTTCCCTGCACTGGTCCATTTTCCCCGCACTTGGATCTACCCATTGGATGGTGTCCTGGCACACCCATCGCTACCTTCTACTCTCCTCCTTCCATAAAATGGAGAAAGAAGAGGCAGGCAGGTATGGTGGAAGGAATGGAGGATTAGGAGACAGGAGTCCTGGGTTCTCATCCCAGTTTGACCACAGTGTCACCTGGGGCAAGTCCTGTCCACTACCCTGACTGCCATCTCCCCATCTTTGCCAAGAGGACATCCATCTGGATTATCTCGAAGGGTATCTCAACCTAACTCAACACTTTCTATCCTAAATCTTTGTGAGGATGAAAAACTCCAATTTCTAGCGGCCTACCAAAGGCTGCCCCCTAGTGGCCTTCACGCACCTTGAACTTTCTGTCCAGTGCATTTTTACCTAAAGTTGCTCAATTGTATTTTATCTTTTTTTTTCTTTTTAATTCAGTCTCCATAGAGACTGTCAAAAATTGCCAATGCCAACTATATTTCAAGTCAAGTCAAGTCACTCTGTCACCCAGACTAGAGTGCAGTGGCATGATCACAACTCACTGCAACCTCCAACTCCTGGGCTCAAGCGATCCTACTGGCTCAGCCTCCTGAGTAGCTGGCACTACAGGCGTGCGCCACTGTGTCCAGCTAGTTTATTTTATTTTATTTTTTGTATTTTTATGTTTGTATTTTGTTGTTTTTGTTGCCCAGGCTGGTCTCAAATTTCTGGCCTCAAGTGATCCTCCCACCTTGCCCCCCTCCCCCAAAGTGCTACGGTTACAGGCACGGCACCCGTTACTGAACACCTTTGGTGTGTCCATCCTCATGGAAGGCATCAGGCGAGGAGAGGGGAAGAAAAATCTAACCATACCTGGGTTCTCAATGCTACTTGTCATTTTTTCTTGCTTCTAGTCCACTCAGCAACTTTTTCTGTTCTTCGTAGAGGTTGTTCTTCACAGAACATGTTCTTACCTCCCAGCTTACTCCTCCATGCTCAGCAGACAGCCTCTCCTCCAATCCACAGAGGAGCTCAAAGCCAAGGACGCCCTCAGTTCCCTCCCTTCTTTTTATCTACAACATCTCCTGTTCTTGTTTTCTTCCCACTGGCCTTCGAGAAAGAAGTACCCTCTTCTTTCCAAGGGTAACTCCCTTTTCTGTACTTAATCTGTTCTCTCCTGCCTCCTTCAAGATCTCAAACTATCAGTCACCTCCTCTCTGCCTTGTATCTTTCAGACCTCCCAGATCTTCCTTCTCAACCTTGAACATCTTCAGGTCTCCCAACCCTAAAAGAAACCCTCCCTTCCCTACTGGCCCCCTTCAAAAAAAAAAAAAAAAAAAAAAAAAACACTTTCTTAGCTCCTTTCTTCCCTGCAGAGGGACACTTCTCCACCCTCTGTTTTTACTTTCTTGCCCCCCTTTCACTCTTTTTAGGAAACAATTTTCATTGTGAAATGTATAATGAATACAAAAGAGTGCATAAATCACATATAGATATAGACAACTATAATACGAACACTCATGTTAAGAAACCCACCCAGGTTAAGAAATAAAACTAACTTAGGAACTTAGTCCATGCCAGACCCTGTTCCAAGTGCTTTGTGTGTATTGTTCTGTTTAAACAACCCTATGAGGTCAATCAAATAATCACCCAATTTTATAAATCAGGAAACCGATACATAGAAAGGGTAGGTAACTGGCCCAAGGTCATACTGCTAAGAAGTAGCAGAGCTTGGTTTCAAACCTAAGTAGTCTGAGTTTAGATTAGCACAATTCAATAGAATTTTCTAGAATGCTGGGAATTCATATTTGTGCTGTTCAGTATGGGGCCACCGGTCACATGTGGCTATGGAACACGTGAAATGTGACTGGCGCAACTGAAGAAATGAATTTTTAATTTTTCCAAAGTTTTCATTTACTTTTTACATTTTTATTTATTTATTTATTTTTGGAGACAGGATCTCGCTTTGTTGCCCAGGCTAGAATGCCATGGTGTCAGCCTAGCTCACAGCAACCTCAAACTCCTGAGCTCAAGCAATCCTTATGCCTCAGCCTCCCGAGTAGCTGGGACTACAGGCATGCACCACCATGCCTGGCTAATTCATATATATATATATATATATATATATATATATATATGCACTTTTTAGTTGTCCAGCTAATTTCTTTATATTTTTTTAGTAGAGACAGGATCTCGCTCTTGCTCAGGCTGGTCTCAAACTCCTGAGCTCTCGGCAGGGAGCCTCTCAGAGTGCTAGGATTACAGGCCTGAGCTATTCCACCCCAGGGCCTTGGCCTCCCAAAGTGCTAGGATGGCCTTCATTTACATTTAAATTTAAATAGCCACCTGTGGCTAGTGGCTATTATTTTGGTTAGCACAGTTCTAGACTCTGGGGCCTTAAACATTACACCCAACTACTTGCCTCTGTTCTCTGACCTGTTGTAACTTGGCCCGGGACCTCAGTACTGCCCTGAAACTGCTCTAGCCAGGGTGATCGTCCAGTGGCCAAACCCAAAGGCCTTTTATCAATTTTTATTCTTTTGGATCCTTCAAGAACATTAGACGAGACAATACTCATTCTTTCATTCTTTTTTTTTTTTTTTTTTGAGACAGAGTCTCGCTTTGTTGCCCAGGCTAGAATGCCATGGTGTCAGCCTAGCTCACAGCAACCTCAAACTCCTGGGCTCAAGCGATCCTGCTGCCTCAGCCTCCCAAGTAGCTGGGACTACAGGCATGAGCCACTATGCCTGGCTAATTTTTTCTATATATATTAGTTGGCCAATTAATTTCTTTCTATTTATAGTAGAGACGGGGTCTCGCTCTTGCTCAGGCTGGTTTCGAACTCCTGACCTCGAGCAATCAGCCCGCCTCGGCCTCCCAGAGTGTTAGGATTACAGGCGTGAGCCACTGCGCCCGGCCAATACTCATTCTTTTTTGATGAAAAATGAATTGACATTTCCATGGAAAAAAAATTGGAAAAGACAGAAAAGTAGAAAGAAAAGAAAAACAATCACCCAAAATCCCACAACCAAAATATAATTATTATTAACATTCTGATATACGGAGGGTTTTTTTGGGTTTTTTTTGATAGGCACTCAAATGGGTTAAATAAAGTTTTGTTTTGTTTTGTTTTGTTTTGTTTTGTTTTTTTACAAAAAACAGTTGCAATCACACTCCTTTTTAATTTAGCTTTCCTTAATTTCAGAACACTTATGTTCTCTTAGGGTTGAATTCTCATTCCTATTATCCACTCCAAGGGACTGAGTGACCACCTTTTGAACTCTTGGATGCTTATTTATCACTCCCTGATATTTTTCATCTCCATTTTAGATATCCCAAGAGTACCTCAAGCTCACCACATCCAGACATGGGTCCCCTTATCTTTCTCCAATACCTGTTCTTCCTCCTCCCAGGCTCTCCCTAACACTAGCAGTATCCCCGCGTGCCCACTGAATAAGCTAGAAACTGAAACCCCCTCCCTCATGCAGGCAGTGACTGGACCCTGACCTTTCTACTTCTATAATGCCCCTGTTCTGTCTTCATTCCCGCTGTCATTGCCACAGACTGAGCCCTCAGATGTCTGAGTCCCTAACCCTGGCCGTAAACTAGGTCCCCAACCCTGACTCTTGGCTGCGTTGTCCCCCACCTGACTACAGATTGAGCCCCTCACACTTGCCATTAACTAATCCTTTCCCACTGTCCTCAGCCCCTTCTCATAGTCTGAGCCCTAACTGTGGCCATGGAGTAACCTATAAGCACAACCAATTAAAAATGCTTGCCCTTGGTTGAGTGCAGGTGGTCCAGAAATAACCCGTCTCTATTATTTAAGAACCCACTGGAAGAATCACCTTATGAGCTTGGACCCAGAGCAATGCCATCCTATACAAAGGACAGTCTGTGAGGACCGCAAGAGTTACGAATTGCACAAAGGGCTAGATTCTGGTAGGGTGGGCTTCTTAGAAGACCTGGGTGAGCCTTGAACCAGACCCTATCTTCTCCATAGTTGGAAGACCCCTCGGTGTTCCCGGCTGTGATCGTGGAGCAGGTACCCTACCCTGAATTACTGCATCTGTGCTCAGGACTGGAGCTGGACGACATTCACAATGGCATCATAACGGACGGGACCTTGTGCATGACACAGGATCAGATCCTGGAGGGCAGCTTTTTGCTGGCAGGTCTGTTCCCTTCCTGGGCAGGGACAGCATGGTGGAGAGAGGGATTCTATCTTCACGGAACAGCAGCCCATGGTGGCTTCTAGTAACCCCATGCAGAATGGCCAAGGCCCTTAACAAAAGACAGTGTTGCTTAATAGAGGAGGAACCATCTTAATGGATTCCTGATTTTTCCAGATGGGGTGGGACAACAAGGAGTAGAGACCAATTAGGGCAGGAGGGGCACCGGGCCCCTCCCGGCTGTCCCTAGTACCTCTGGATAGGGTCCCAGGGCTCCTCTGCTTGTCACCATCCTCAGGCTGGCCCTGATTATAGCTGTCCCCCTGCCTGTACCCTGAGGGAACTTTTCTCCTTTTCTTCTCTCCTGCGACACCCCCACTCTGTGGAACTTGGAACCAGATGACAATGAGGCCACCTCACACACCATGTCAACAACTGAAGTCTTGCTCAATGTGGAGTCTCCCAACAACATCCTGGATGAGAAGCAGATCTGTAAGTTCAAGCCTCAGTGCCTTAACTAAAGGCAACAAAAAAATTCCATTTTAAAATGTTGCATCTGCATAATGGATTCCCAAGCACATGTACACACAGGCATATGCCCCATACCCACCGATACACACGTGACTTTTGTCTTTTTGTGACTGCTTATTTCACTCAGCATCATATCCTCAAAGTTCGTATTGTAGCACGGGTCAGAATTTCTTTCCTTTCTAAGGCTGAATAATATTGGCCAGAGTGACTTTTTTGGGCCCTTTTGTTTGGCTCCCAGGAAAACTAAGAAATGCAGGGTGTGACTTATTAAGGAACGTGTCAGGCTTGGAACATCTTCATCCCTCCCCTGTTCTCAGGGGCCAGCCTGATCCCTGCTGGCCCTACCTGGCTCCTGACCCCCCAGAGGGTCCCTAAGGCAGGCTCCTCCCAGTGCTCTCTCAGCAGATACTGTAACACCATAGGAGGGTTTCCCCAACTCCCCTCTCCTGGGGGGGGGTGCTGTGATATAGTGGGGAAAGAAAGCCCTGCAGCTGAACATTAAGAGATTTCTAGTCCAGACTCTTGCTAATATTCATCCAGGATTCAACAAATATTGACTGAGTGCCTGCCTACACCAGGCACTGACTCGCTGAGACCTTGGGCACATGACTTGTCATCTCTGAGTCTGTCTCAGTTTCCTCATCAGGAAAGCAGAGGAATTGGACTAAATGATTTCCAACACTCCCTATAAAATGAGCGAAGGACTAAATCAAGGTGGCTCTTTACTCTGAATGGCGCCTGGAACTTCCCCACACCCAGCAGTGGGCTATAAATGTGGCAGCTGTGATTGGGGCCGACTCATACCCACAGCTCTGCAGATGTTTCCTCCCCTCGTGGTGCGAGACACATGAGGCGTTTTCAGGTGCATCCTGTGTCTGGGGCCATGGGGAAGAGCCCCGCCCCCCCCCAGGAACCCACCATTCTCTCCAGCTCTGGAGACCCCGCTCTGGCCCTGCACTGGGCCCCGCCCACCCCAGGCCTTTCTTCTTGCAGTCAGTACCTCCGAAATGCTTCCAGACTCAGACCCTGCTCCAGCCGTCACTCTGCCCAACTACCTGTTTCCTGCCTCTGAGCCCGGTGCCCTGAACAGGGCGGGTGACACTAGTGACCAGGAGGGGCATTCTCTGGAGGAGAAGGTCCCCAGAGAGGAAAGTGCCAAGAAGACTGGGAAATCAAAGAAGAGAAGTAAGGGAGGGGAGAGTGAGTGTGTGTGTGTCTCCAGGGGGTGGGCAGTGCGGGTGGGGGAGGGGTCAGGAAGATCTTGAGGGCTGAGTGGGCCAAGGCTCAGGGACACAGCAGGAGGCCAGCTCTCTGGTGTAGCCAGGAGGCCTCCCTTCCATAAAACCTGGCCTCATCTGTTGGCCTGCCTGCAGCCTGACATTTCTTGTAATGCCTCTGTCTACCCAGCGTATGCGTCAACCCCGTCAGAAATGCCAGCGATCCCAACGGAGGGAGTCCTAGGCTGGGAGTTTAGACACCAGGCTTGGCCCCTTGGCCAGTCCCTGGATCTCTGGGGCCTCTGCCCATAAAAAACGAGTCATGCCAGGTGCTTATCTCCCTTCGATGGAGCTTATGAAGCTGAGGCCATATATGAGAGAGGACTTTGGGCTTTCCCAAGCTCGGGTGTTATTGATTTACTCAGGTGATGGCTGGTTGATACTGCCTTGTTAGCATGGCAACCAAAACCTCCGCGCCACACTTACCTGCACAACGGTGGTGCCTTTTGGCTGACTTTTCATTTCAAAAGTGAGGCGAGGCCGATTCTGTTCTCATAAATGTGACGCGTTTGCAACCACTCCGTTTCCCCACATCATAGCCGTGTTGCGGCGCTACCTTGGGGGCCTGAAAATGAGGGTGCAGATACCTGAGAGCTGTGGAGAGTGACCTGGGGCCTCCAGCCCCGGTGACCTGGCTCCTCCTTGTCAGTCTTGTCACACCCAACGTGGCCAGCTCCTGGGCCCTCCCTCTCGGGAGCTGGTCCTCATCCTCCTCCCCCACCTTCTTCTCACAGTCCGGAAGACCAAGGGCAACCGAAGTACCTCACCTGTCACTGATCCCAGCATCCCCATACGGAAGAAATCAAAGGATGGCAAAGGTATGGCTGGGAGGCAGGTGAGGTGGGAAGGGAGGCCCTTCCCTGCCGCCAGGGTGCCCCTCACCAGCCGCCCCTCTGCAGGCAGCACCATCTATCTGTGGGAGTTCCTTCTGGCGCTTCTGCAGGACAGAAACACCTGTCCCAAGTACATCAAGTGGACCCAGCGAGAAAAGGGCATCTTCAAGCTGGTGGATTCCAAAGCTGTGTCCAAGCTGTGGGGGAAGCAGAAAAACAAGCCTGACATGAACTACGAGACGATGGGGCGGGCACTAAGGTAGGAGCTGCTGGGACACAGAATCCCTGCCCTGGGGAAGCCACTGAGCTCTTCCTATGTCCCAGGAGTCAGGAGTTCGAAACCAGCCTGAGCAAGAGTGAGACCCCGTCTCTACTAAACATAGAAAGAAATTAGCTGGACAACTAAAAATATATAGAAAAAATAAACCGGGCATGGTGGCACATGCCTGTAGTCCCAGCTACTTGGGAGGCTGAGGCAGAAAGATTGCTTGAGCCCAGGAGTTTTGTTTCGTTTTGTTTTTTTGAGACAGAGTCTCACTTTGTTGCCCAGGCTAGAGTGAGTGCCGTGGCGTCAGCCTAGCTCACAGCAACTTCAATCTCCTGGGCTCAAGCAATCTTTCTGCCTCAGCTTGCTGAGTAGCTGGGACTATAGGCATGTGCCACCATGCCTGGCTAATTTTTTGTATATATATTTTTAGTTGATCAATTAATTTCTTTCTGTTTTTTAGTAGAGATGGGGTCTCGCTCTTGCTCAGGTTGGTTTCGAACTCCTGACCTCGAGCAATCCGCCCGCCTCGGCCTCCCAGAGTGCTAGGATTACAGGTGTGAGCCACTGCGCCCGGCCAAGCCCAGGATTTTGAGGTTGCTGTGAGCTAGGCTGACTCCACGGCACTCTAGCCCAGGCTACAGAGTGAGGCTCTGTCTCAAAAAAAAAAAACAAAACAAAAAAAACAGGTCTCATAACTTTCCCATTGGCTTATCGCAGTGCCCCTCGCCCAGGCCCCCTCTGAGAGGCAAAAAATCCCCTCTCCTGCATCTCTGACCTGGCCATTTTATTTGTCGTAGTGGAAGAGCAGCTTAGTTGTCTCCTTCCCCAAGAAGGGCTTTCTTCATGTGCTGCGAGCCGGAGCCCCAGGGGGGTGGGCTTGAGTTGCCCTAGAGGTGGTTTCTCAGGCCAGAGGACCGCTGAGCCTGCCCATCCATCCCCTCACGCATAGTTCCTTCCTCTAGCCACTCCCTGTCCCCTGCCCCAAAGCAGGCTGGAGGGTGGTGTTTGAAAACCCTTTTTGTAGATCCTTTGAGTCCTCAGGGGGAAATCTCTCAGGAATTTTGTAAAAGCTTTCCAAGCCCAACCATTGGCTGTGTCCCTCCTCGTGTCCCTGGGTCCTCCGGGAGGGCGGTGTGCTGGGGAGAAGGAGATGGAGGGCCACCCCGCTTAGTCTCTGTCTAACTCCACGCCCTCTGTCCCCCAGATATTACTACCAAAGAGGCATCCTGGCCAAAGTGGAAGGGCAGAGGCTAGTGTACCAGTTTAAGGAGATGCCCAAGGACTTGGTGGTGATTGAAGATGAGGACGAGAGAAGTGAAGCCACAGCGGCGCCGCCTCAGGCCTCCACCAGCACCACCCGGCGAGCCAGCTCCAGGGTCTCGTCCAGAGCTGCCCCCCAGGTCAAGAGCGGCTCTTCCTGGGAGAAGCCAAAGGTCCCGCACGTTGGTCTCCAGCCATCTGCGAGTCTGGAATTGGGACTGTCTCTAGACGAGGAGACCCCCACTACCTCCACCATGCTTGTCTCCCCAGCGGAGAGCCAGGCCAAACTCACCAAAGCTGTGAGGTAAGGGCACCAAAGTAATTACGAGTCTTCACACAGTACCACGCGCTCGGGGTCGGTTTTCAATTTCTTGCCAAGCCCTGCTGTGTCTCCAGGCTCATGGGATCCTCACAGAACCCCTGGGAAGCCAGTGGGGCACTTGTTGGTCAAGAGAGGAAAGGTGACTTGCCCGAGGTCACCCATCAAAGTAATGGCAAAATCAGCACTTGACCTAGGTGGCTTCTGCCACCAGCTAGGGCTGTTCCTGTTACGCCAGAGGGCTCCCCAAGGAGCCACCAGGGCCTCCATATCTGGGCCCATCCCCCTAAGCCTCCTTCACTCCAGAAAAGAGGCAACAGAGAATGTCACAGGGATGCCTGCTCTGCCTTCCTCAGGACTTCCAGGTCCACCCAGCCAGCTCTCACTACTTCACGTCCCTGCTAAAGGGCCTCCAGTTTTCCCTGAAAATGTTGGATTTTGTCTGCGTTATGTTTAGGTAGCTCTCACTATGCTGGCATGGGTCACCGAGATGCCCTGCTGAGGAGGGGCGGCAGCAGAGTGGAATGGTGCAGAACATGAGCTCTGAGGTCACCAGGTCTAGATGTGAGTCCCTGCTTTAGTGTTTACTAGGTGTATGGTCTTGGGGCAAGTTACACAACCTCTCTGTGCCTCAGTTTCCTCAAGCTGCAAAATCAGATTATCCTTATACAACCTGTGAGCTGTTTTGAGGATCGAGCGAAATGCCATATGTCAGTCACTCAGAATGATCTCTGACTATACTAAGTACTCAATAAAAGTTATGACAACAACAAAGAAATGGCCAAAGCACCTTCAGCTCTGTTGTAATCATGCCCTCCTTCCTAGCCAGCTGCGGGATATCTCCTGCCCTAACCAACTCTGTTCTCTGTTTCTTCTCAGTACGACTTCGGTGCCCAGCAACATCCATTTAGGAGTGGCCCCTGTGGGATCAGGCTCGGCCTTGACCCTGCAGACAATCCCGCTGACCAGGGTGCTGACCAGCGGGGCCCCCGCCAGCACTACTGCTTCCACCCAGCTCGTTCTGCAGAGTGTTCCGCCTGCCTCGACTTTCAAGGACACCTTCGCTTTGCAGGCCTCCTTTCCCCTGAGCGCCAGCTTCCCAGACAGCCAGGTGGCAGCCCCAGGGGCTCCGCTGATCCTCAGTGGCCTCCCCCAACTTCTGGCTGGGGCCAACCGTCCAACCAACCCAGCGCCACCCTCGGTCACAGGGGCTGGACCAGCAGTGCCCAGCTCTCCGGCCCCTGGGACTGTCATTGCTGCCTTCATCAGGACTTCTGGCACCACAGCAGCCCCTGGGGTCAAGGAGGGGCCACTGAGGTCTTCCTCATATGTGCAGGGCATGGTGACTGGGGCCCCCATGGAGGGGCTGCTGGTTCCTGAAGAGACCCTGAGGGAGCTCCTGAGAGATCAGGCTCATCTTCAGCCACTTCCAACCCAGGTGGTTTCAAGGGGTTCCCACAATCTGAGCCTTCTGGGGAACCAGACTTTCTCTCCTCCCAGCCGCCCCACTGTTGGGCTGACCCCGGTGGCTGAACTTGAGCTCTCCTCAGGCTCAGGGTCCCTGTTTATGGCTGAGCCTAGTGTGACCGCATCTGGGAGCCTGCTGGCCAGATCCCCAACTCCGGCTCCTTTCTCCCCATTCAATCCCACTTCCCTCATTAAGATGGAGCCCCATGACATGTAAACAAAGGGGTCAGAAGTGTCATCCACCTGGCGAAAATGAGCTTCATTTTTATACGAAGTGACTTAAGTAGCACGCCTGCCCCTGTGTTTCAGTGGGATGTCAATACACCTGACTCCTGGGCCCCCAGCCCTGCCTGGCTTCACAGTGGCCAAACTGTCCAGTTTGTGCATCCCTGGCATCAGACTGTGGCCTTCAAGAGCACTAGGGGATACGCTCTTGGCAGGATAATGGGCTGACTTGGTGATGGAGGGAAAAACCCCAGAGCCAGGGAGAACTCTGTAGCCAGGGCTGGTGCAGGGGCTCCATGAGAAGGTCCTTCCACCTGGCTGGGTCTTGACGCGTACGTTCCCTACTTGCTATCCCATATGTGAATATCTCTGTATGTATTTGTGTGTACTTGTGAGTCTGTATCTTAGTTTCTTTGGGGAGGACAGGGGTGTAGCTGTGAGGTCTGGTCTTCAAGGGCGTGCATATCTCTCTGTGGGTCAGCCACAGGGATGGGGATTTTTTTAAGGGAAAATATTCTCCTGTTCCCTTTGTACACACCAACATTCAATTGCTCGGAGACTATGGGGTACAGGTTTGATCCCCCAAATCTGGAGAGATGGCACAGAGCTGGAACAGGTACAAGGTAGGAGAGCTTCAATGGGCATGCGTGTGGGCATGTGAGAAGACGTGCTCCTAAGGGACGAGAAGGCCAAGTAGGACAAAATCACAAGGAAAGGGAAAAGAACTCAGCCTGGGGAGCAGCCCACATAGGTTAGACGGAGGTACTGTTCCCGGTTTGCCTGGTTAGCCACCACAGTCTCCATGCCACTGGGCTGGAAGCTTGGCCACCCCAGAGTGCTTTGCTGAAGGATTAGTCAGGGGCAAAGTGCCCCCTAACCCCAGGGTCAGACCCAGCCACAGAGTCCCCAGTCAGGGCTGGATTAATTGGACGTTTGTGCCCAGGGATTGTGCTGTTTTGTGTAACAGCAGCCCTATGCCGGAAACAGCTTTTGCTGGCACCCCAACCTACATTCCAATCCTGGGTTCCCTCTTGATTACTTTCGTGCCTGACGTTTTCCAGCTGTCCGGCACAACCTAGACCGGGCCACCTCCATTCCTGCTTGTGTGGCGGGGCACGTATGCCCTGCCGCTCAGCTTGCCTTCTGCTCAGTGCGCAGGTCGGCCAGCCGCTCCCACAATGGCTCCCGCAGACATTCTCGGGTGGCCTGTTGCCCCTCATCACCAACTTTCACACTTACCCCTGATTCCTTCCGCACCAAGAAGACAGGAGCCAGCAGACATGAGTTCCCGTGGCATTTCCCCTGTCGCTACGTGGCTCCTCGCTTCCCTCGGTCCTCAACCCATTCTCTTAAAGTCAACCCCTTGGCAGCGCAGGGCCTGGATCCCCCTCCCTTCTCCCCTCTGAATTAATTTGCCTCTCTCCTGCCAAGTTTGGGGGAAAGGCTAAAAAATGTCAGCCTCAGAAACAACTGTATCATCTGGTGGCTTTGGTTAATGTGAATCAGTGCCTCAGGACCTGTGTGCTATGTCCTTGGTACAAAACCATCCACGTGACCTAACTACCTCCCCTGGCTGCTCCTCTCTGTCCTCCTCTCTCCTCCCTGTCCAGCCCCCCGGGGGGGGGGTTGTGCAGGTGCGTTTACTACACATTTCCAGTAGTTGGCATTAAAGTGCCTTTTTCTAATAAAATCAGTTTATTATGACAATTTCATGGTTGAAAGTATTTCAGAAAAGGTCACTGCTTTGTTTTTTGTTTTTTTAAAAAAAAAACTGCACAAAGACACTGCATGGGTCAGGGGTGGCCCTGTCTCTGCCTAAAATCTGGTTTCTGCCACTGCTGCCCCAACTTCATAGAAAGTCATCATCGGGGCCGGGTGCGGTGGCTCATGCCTGTAATCCTAGCACTCTGGGAGGCCTAGGTGGGCAGATTGCTCGAGGTCAGGAGTTGGAAACCAGCCTGAGCAAGAGCAAGACCCTGTCTCTACTATAAATAGAAAGAAATTAATTGGCCAACTAATATATATAGAAAATATTAGCCAGGCATGGTGGCACATGCCTGTTGTCCCAGCTACTTGGGAGGCTGAGGCAGGAAGATCACTTGAGCCCAGGAGTTTGAGGTTGCTGTGAGCCAGGCTGATGCCACAGCACTCACTCGAGCCTGGGCAACAGAGTGAGACTCTGTCACACACACACAAAAAAAGTCATCATCGGAAGGTCATGTGTGCCCTGAGGATGAAAGCAAATGTCTTCTTCACAGTTCTGGCCCCCATGAGCCGCACCACCTGGGCTCTCCTGCCTCCCCTGACGCCCTGTGTCTGTGCTATGGCTGCTACTGCCGCCTCTCATCTGCCACATCCAGTGTGGGTGTTCCCCATGGGTCTCAGCCATTCTGGGCTCATTCCTAGTCCTAAATCTAGGGCTCCAGCTCCTACTTTTTTCCCTAAGCTCCTGGCCCACATTTCCAATGATCTGTCGGACATTCCCACCTAGATGCCCCTCAGGCCCTCAAAGATAGCTGCTCTATCAAAAATGGATTTTTAAATTCTTTCCACACTCACAGAAAAACCTTTCCAAAAAACAAACAAACAAAAGGCTGTCATGACTTACATATTTCTGTTGATGGTGCCACCATTTTCCTGGCCTTCTAAGCTCAAAATTTCAGAGCCACCTGACAGCTGCCTTCACTTCTCCCATCCCTCTCCTCCATGTCCCCGAAGTCCAGCATGCGACTTGTGATGTCCTAAAATCTAGCCTTTCTTCCACATTCCCCGAACCCCCAGCCTTGCCCCAACTACCCAAAAGCTCCCTCCAACATACACATCAATGGCCCCCAGTGTGACCTGTGGCAACCCCTCCCATCTGCCAGGGTACCCATTCTGTCCCTTCCTCTGCCAGAAAGCCTTCAGTGACCCCTCCTGGCCTGCAGGTAGCGGTGATACTCAAAACACTGAACCTCCAATCCTTTCTAGGTGGCCTGGCATTAACCATTTAGTTGCTGAATCCAGGCCAGGGATCTTGGAGGAGGAACGGGGAACACATGTAGGGCTCAGGGCAGTAGTTCCAGAAATATTTTAAGTTTAGCATCAGCCCCCCTTTGGGACAAAGGCCCAAGTCCTCGGCCTGCCGTCAAGATTCCTCACCATCAGGTCCTGACTGACTTCCCCTGACAACTCCCCCTGCTCCCTCCTCTGGCCTTGGAAGATGCCTCTGTGCACAGTTGCCCACCTCCGAGCTTTTGTTTTACTTGGCTCTGCTCAACCAGAATGCCCTTCCTATTCTGCTGGTACCAACTAAATTGTGTCCATCCTTCAACACTCAATTCATGGAAGCTGCCTCCCCAGACCAGCCCATCCTTAAGTGAGTTCTTTATTTTAAACTCATTGCAATTGCCACTTTTTTTAAGGCCACTGACTGATCATAAACAGCCTGTGACATCTCCTGTGGTTATTATAATAAATCACAAACTGTTACTTAAACCTTCAATGGCCTGTACCTATTCAGTCTCCCCAGTTAGGATGTTACCTCCTAAGGAACAGGGGAGCTGGATCACCCACAGAACAGGGCAGAGTACGAAGCAGACATCATCAAGGAACAGTTACTGATGGAGCAAATGGGATATGGGGACCCAACTTGGAGTTTGGTGACCCCTGACCTTCCGTCTGCACAGGCACTCACCCCAGGTTCTCCACTGCCCAGGGCCTGCCCTCTCTGGCTCTGTACCCTCATGGTACTCCATCCCACCCCACCTTAGCATTTGAGATTTGTTACTACTTTGAACATTCTCTGCCCTTAAGGAAACTTCCCTGTCCAGTTTCTTTCCTTCTGAAAGTGTTAAACTAGCTAATCACATAACCTAACCTGTGCTGATGTAGTTATGGGAGAAGACTAGAGGAGAGCCTCAGGAGAATGGTCCATTTTAGCCAGGGCCATGTGGCAACAACATCTCTGCCTTTGTGATGGTTTAATAGAGTCACCAGTCAAGAGATGACCCGTATCTACCGGCAGCTGATGTGTCACTCCCTCCTCTGGGCTCCCACAGCACTTTGTATATACTTCTTATCGTAGCACATAGCACACTGTGGTTCCTTAATTATGTGTTTATGTATGTCCCCCCCACACACAGACTGTGAGCTCCTCAAGGACAGGGACTGTGTGTTAGTCACTGATGTATTCCCAGCACCTAGCACAGTGCCTGGCACACAGTAGGTGCTCAATAAATGTTTATTTAAAGAATGAATGAGTCCTGATTCTAACTGTGAGGGCTTCTGCCCTCTACTGTGGCAGACAAGAGAGGGAGGACAATTCATACTTGGAAGCTATTGCAGCCTTTGCCCCCTCGTGTAACACTGCAGGCAGTTACTTCCTTTGCTTCCGTCTATAGCCACCCCTAGACAAGGTCCACAGGGAGCCCAGGGCTGTTTCCAGCTGTGCCTTGCCCTCACCAGGTGCCACAGGCGACTCCAGAACTCTGGCCCTTTGCTGCTGCTGCCTCCTTCCAAGGACTGCCTCACCACTATTTCTTCATCCCTGGGTGGGACTGAGTGGTGGAAATGTCAGCCCTAGTGGGTGGGGCGGGAAGAGAAGTTATTCTGACAGTCACAGGCCTTTCTGATCCCACCACGTACTCTAAAAGAGGCAGCTGACATCGGAGCAAGAGTGATAGCTCCGAAACCGCCCGACCTGGGGTAAGGGCGCGTTCCCCTCCCAGAGATCGCAGCCTCTGAGAGGCTCGGCCCTGGCACGCTAGACGTGGAGGCCGACGTCCAGCAGGTGGCGCTGTCGAGCCGGCGATGGCGGGCGGGTGGCCCGGCGGAGCCCAGGAAAGGAGGGAGGGGCAGCCAGGGCGGGGCCTACCGCTCCTGGCAGAGGCTGCCACGGCCAGCGTCTTCCCGTCCTCTGCCATGCCGCTGCGCCCCCAACTGTCCCTGAGCGGCTCCGGCCCCACCAACGCCCTCCATTGCTCCAGAGCTTCGAACTTTCCCCCGGCCCCCGCCCCCTTCACTTTCCAGGGGGAATTTAGCAGTCCAGTGAATGCGCTCTCCCCATTGGCCAGTCGCGCCCTGGCCCCGCCCCCAGCGGCCCCCTCCCCCAGCCTCCCAGACCGGCAGGTGAGCGCACCCTGCGCCCGGCCTCCCGCACCAGCCGCCGCCTGCCCCGGGGCCGCAGGCGTGAGCCCCAGGCTGTCGCTGCCACTGCCGCGGGGCACTGAACCTGGGCCACTCTTCGCCCGGCCTGCCTTTAGCTACATTTGTACGCGCTGCCGCTTTCCACCTTGAAATAGAGCGATCGAGGCGCCCGCGACATCCGTTTGCCAGCGAGGGCCCCGACCGCCCGCCGCGCGAGCCCGGGATCCGGAGGGCCGGCGCGGAGCCGGGGAGGCGTCGCACCGAGAGGCCGGACGCTGCGGCTTGCCAGCCCCCCTCGCGGTGGAAGCCCGTGCGCTGGGGAAACACGTGGAGCCCCGCCCCGCCCCGCCCCGCTGCAGGTCCAGAAGGCCCGAGCATTTCGCTCCTCGCCCTAGCAGCTAAGCAAGTCGCCCTCGGGTCAGACCCCCCACTCTTAAAACACACGAGCCGATCCCAGCGGGGGTGGGACACGGTAAAATACCCAACAGGCTTCCCGGTTAGTGGGTTAGAGTACTGAAGGGGCAGGAGTTTACTGCCCTTCGCCCCACCCCTTAACCCACCTACCCCACATCAAATAGGGATGCGGATATGGTCCCTTCTCTGGGAATACCAAGGCTTGAACAGGGCCGTTCTTTAAACCCCAAAGAGGAAATTCTGGGAAGGCAGTCATTAATGATAGGCTCGAGACCTCGGTGCGAAGGAGGAACTAATTTCGGCTAAACAGTCATGTTTTGTCCTCGCTATGATTCTTGTCATTCGGTGGGCAAATTGAGCCCCATTTGGGAGATGGGGCAACGAAGGCTCAGAAAGATTGGGTTCTCACCCAAGGTCAGCCTAGTAGGTAGGTAGTGGTGGTGCTGGCTCTTTCTCCCACACCATACTGAAAGGATTAGAAGATCATTTAATAAGAGGCCACCGACTGACTCCTCACCCCAAACCTCACTAGGGATGTAGATTTAGTATCAGTCCTTGATGTTCACAACAGGCAGAAGGACAGTGAGACCCCCAAGTAATGTGGTAAAGGACCCCAAAAGCAAGCAAAGAATAAACTGCTGTTTGGCTCTGCTTTTAACTCCTCTCCTTTTTTTGTCTCCAAGCATTTGCTCAGATTGTCCCCTTGGTTCAGATGTTCTTCCCTGCCACATCTAATTCTTATATTTCTATTTATTTAAGTATCAACTAGGCATCACCTCTCCCAGGAAGTCTTTCCCACCCACTCCAGTGCCCTTGCTCATCCCTGCGAGCTCCCACAGCATCCTGGACCTAGTTGAGTGCTACACTCACCACGTGGCTTTCATGACCTATTGATATGTCTGACTTTACTTAGCTGCAAGTTCCAAAGAGAGGATGGATCTGAAATCAGAACCATTATGGGCTTGTTTGGGAACTGAGAAAGGTGGCTATTGTACAGGGCCTCAGGATCAGAAAGTGGGGAAGGGAAAGCCAGTGAGGAAGATTAATGCTATGGCTCAAAGAGAATGATCCCTCTACATCTGAGCAGCAAGACCCAGGACAAGCAGGCCCGAGCAAAGACTGCACAGCTCACAGTTCACTCTTGGGGATGGCTGGACTCCAGCCTG